TAAATTTTTTTTGATAATAAATTTTGAGTGTCATAAAATATATTTGTTAAAAAAGTTACAAGTGTTCCTTTGTAAAAACAAACAAAAAAAGAAAAAAATTTATCAAAAATGCTCAAAAAAAGTGCTTCAACTAGCCAAAACTGTTACATAAAAAAGTTCAAAGAGTAGAGGTACAAGAAAAAAAGAATGAAATTTTTGTAAAGCATCGAAGTGCATTCGTATCTGAAGAGGTCAATTGGAGAAGCTTAAATTCTGCTGCATCTCTGTGTTTGTTCTATTTGGATATATTGCTGCCGATATTATTTGCAGTCTGAGAGGTCACCAGGTAAACATATTATTTGATACGACAAATCGACAAATGCAATTTTAATGCAATTAGTTACATTTTAATTCTTTTTGCTTTGATTCTTCTTTTCTTATCATTTCTTTATAGATATTTTACCGAACTACAATTTGCTTACGTTTTCAGTCGTTAAGTCTCATTTCTTTGGTAGTTTTTGCTTTAAAACAAAACTAAGAGGTTGTCTAGGCTGTTTCTGTGTAGTATGAAACATAGTCAGTTAAAAATTTTACTAAGGTACCATAGAAGCACTGAGAATTGGTGCACTGAACCTGTAAATTTTATTTTGCAATAGTTTAAACTTGTTACTTTTTTGATTACTGTAAGCTTAGTGCTGAACTGTGGCTGCAAAAACTAAACCCGTGTTGTCGTTATTTCAATTACATAATCTTTCTGTCTTCTTTTTCTTTTTAAGTTTTTATACGCTTTACTAAGACACATAAATATGATGATAAAAAGAATTGTCTTAATTGCCTGTGACATTTAATGCTGGTAAGTTTAACTGACATATAGGTAGGCAATTGGTGACTATTTTGGTTGAGCACAGCGAAATTTGTCATCGACAGTATTCATTATTAATTAGTTTATCAAATATTACTACAATTTTATTACTGTTTCTTACTTTTCTACTACTTACTTTTATTATTTATAAATGTGTGTGTGTATGTGGTTCTTTAAAGATTTGCTCTATACTATTGTCATTGAGGAAATAATCTTCTACTATTTCTAATAGCAACGAATGGTACTTTAATGTAGATTTTTTATGCAGTAACCAATATATTATTTTATATTCATTGAGAAGAAAGTTAATAAACAAGTTACAAGTTCAATTTTGAATTGTAAATAGTCTATTTGTTGTTGCTGTTTGCTGCTGTCGTGTTGTGCGAGGGTATCGGTCAACTGTATTTTTGTGGAGCATTCGAACTTGAAACTTTTGAACAGTTCAGTTGCTAACCGTTAAAAAGACATAGTTTTCTTCTTTTTTTTTTCCTCTTCCACCCCCCTCTCCAGTAGACAGGAAACCAAAAAATAGAATCTTTTATCGGTCAATGCACCTTTTTTTATTGTATTATCAAACGGGTGTTACTTATTTGTTGCTTTTATTGACTAAGTTGAATTTTTGTTAAATTGTAAAAAAAAAAAAAATTTTTTTTTTTCAGTTGAAAACATTTAAAACGTCTATATTTTTTTCTTTTAAAAGTTATCTTGTTATTTTTTTACAGTTTATCGGTTTTGAAAGCAAAAAAAAAAGTTACTGACAAACTGGTAGATCAAACATTAACAACTTTTTGGTTTTTTTTTTGCGTTAAGAGCAATATTTGAGAAAAAAAAAAATGAAATAAAAGTGTCATCAATAAGCCGATTTCACTTTTTTTTTACACTTTCACAGCTAATTTTTATATCTTTACCAGATAAAGATGATTCCACAATTTTTTTTTTTTTGCTATTACTATTAGCTCTAGCTATTTTTTGCTTTCTATCATTGAACTTAGAACTGTGAAGCAGCACAGAAAAAAAAAAAATTGCAGTTTCAAATTATTTTTGCTGGTCTAAATTTCTGAGTTTTTTTGACTACAGTAAACATTGTTCGCTGACCTTCTAACTGTTAAATTTGGTTTTTCAAAGTGTTTCCTTTTCAAAAATTAAATCGCTAAAAAAACTTTTTTTTTTTTTTTTTTTTTTTTTTGAAAATTTGTAAAATATTAATGAGATGTCAGTCAAACTAACAGTTATGCAAAAATAATGTCTCTTTTAGACTCTATTAAGTGATGCATTGGAGGTGGCAATATAAGGTATGCATTTCCATATAGTTTAAAGTTTACAGGCGACAAAAAATATAGTGAAAAACTTTTGTAATAAGTTGTTGCTGATAAACATCGATTATTACAGCTAATCTTAGAAAACTTTTTTGGAACAGTAAAATGTACACAAGGAAAGCTACTGGATTAATAACATAAACTACAGTGATCGGTTGATTGGTGTTGATCTTGTGACGTATCTTTTGATAGAACCGAAAACGAATGAATATTCAAACTACACAGCATAAGCATTTCCTTATTAAGTTTATATGAGTGCTTAATTTCCTTTTTTCTCTTCTTTTTTTGCTTTGTAATTTTTATTCTGTATTCTTTTTTTCAATAAAAACATTGACAAAAAGAACTCAGCTGCAGTACCGTATCAACTTTTGAATTACTGTCGCCAACATAAAAATGGTAGTTTTTTAATGTCGCAATTTACTGATGATAATGACTAAAATATCGATAATTAAGATGTAAAAAAAGTTAATTTATTTTAGCATAGACTAGCCACTAAAATGACTTGAAAGTGAGATGTAACAAACAAATTTTTTGTTCTTAAATTTTTTAACATTTTGATCTCAAACTCTTTGTTTTTCACTCAACCTTGATGAGGTGTTTAACAATTGCAGGTTAAAGTCCGTTCAGCATTTTATGATTTATCATCTTTGTAATGTACTCATAAAACTACAAAGTTTACAAGACAAAAATTTTGTAAGCGTATAGTTTGAAATTGTTTATATAATATTATTGCAGCAAACAATAGGCGAGCCCAGTGAAGCACCTCGTGCCAGCTAGACTAAAGAATTTAACTAACGTAAAAGTTACTTAGAAAAGGCAGTCTGATAGATTGTAGAATATGAAAAAAGTTGATAGGTGAAGCAGAAAAAACGACAAAAGACAGTGTTATTCCGACTTCATATTTTAACAGATGATCGCCAGACGGTCTTTACATTATTTATTGGCGTAGAATTCTGATGATTCTTTCTTCTTGAGGACGACTTGAATCGTTGATTTTTGAAACTTTATCGTTAAGACTCCATCGGTAAAGCTACGTCTGAATTTGTCTGCAGCATATTACTGTCTAATATAATTTTTTTTTACTGCTACAGTTAGTTTTGAGCTTTATAAAAACTTTTGTTGCTTTTCCAGCTTCTTTCTCCCTTTTTATTGCTAGAGACCATTTGTAAATTGGCATCTGTAAGTCTTGATCTGGTGCTTTTAAAAAACTAAGGCAACTGTTTTATTGCTGTGTTAGCATCTTTAAAGTTTTGGTTGTATATGTCGATGGTGACAAATAAAAAAGTCCTTAACAATGTTCAGTTATCTCGGAATATAAAAAACAATCTGATGGTAGTAACAGACGGCTTCTCATCAACTTCACCATTACAGCAAGTAAAGTCTGATGCTTATTGATAAAATAATGGTGGCAAAAATTTAATGGTCAATACCGGTGCTCAGGAAAGTGGTCTACAGCAACCAGTCTCCACTCAAGATATAAATGTTTTATTTGAAAGATACGAGAGAAGCACAGGTAGATGTTTGGACAACTCTGCAGATTTTGAGTTTACTATTCAAAAACATTGATTCATTTTACACAAGCAAAAGGAAAAATTATTGGTTACATTTGACTGTAAGAATTTTTAGAGATTTCTTCATTTTTTGTCAAAGCTCAAACGCTATTAAATTATCAAAGAGTAAACTAAAATATCGTGGTTTTAGAAGAACAATCATCACTTGACGAGCTAACCACCGGTTATGCGGACTATCAATGTAAAAAACCATCTTGACTGAGCTCTCAAATAATCCTTATTTATCAAGCAAAGAAAATTTTTGAAAAATTGATAAGCGGAATAAACGGCTTTCAGACGGGACCCAGACAAAACAAGTTGCCTCAGCAGTTTTAGTTTATGCATTTGAGTAGTAGGTTGAACAAAGAAATCTCTATGATTTTTACTTCAGTTTTTTCTGTAAATTCTTTGCAACACATTGCATCTCACTCAAGGCAGCGGGAAAAACTAAAACAGAAAATGCTTCAGATTTTTATATTTTTCTTTCACAAATCAGCCTTTTCATTGAATGTTGCAAGCATAAAGTTATTTACAGCTACCCTTCTTATAAATTCCAGGTACTGCCTTGATAGCAAATTTTAAAACATTGCTTTGTGCTCGTTTCATGACTCAGACGTCTTTTAGTTGCTTACTTCCCATAGACAAAATAATTAAGACTAAATTAAAAAAGACTGCAGTTACAAGACAAGAGCTCCAATCCGGGAGCGACGGTACCAAACCACTGCGACAGAATCTCTTTTAACAAATCTCAAACTTTCAGGATGCTAAAGTTTGATCTCATTTTATCTTGTCTGATTACTCTGCCAGATGTAATTCCAGATGTTTTTCCTGCTCTTCTGCTCGTGTTTCCTCAAGCTCAGTCATAGTCGTTCCAAAAATTCATTTTTTAGACAACTCTCAAAAACACATCAAGATGCGTAAAAAGGCCCCTGTCCAGTGAAGATGTCCTTTAACAACCGCTTTTCTGACTTTAACTGATGAGTCTGACAAGTATTTAGAATCACTTAAGCAGTTTACGAGCAGACAACAAATTATCACATGAAGAACCATTAACTTATCTGGTAATTTAAAAACAAAAAACAATATAGCAGTTGCTTTTCACGATTCACTGCATATGAAATTACTGTACATAAAATAATCAAAAATTACAAAACAAAGTAAAGAAAATTTAAAGCACAAATTTGTTGCTATCAGAAGTGAACAGCAGAGACTTACAAACAAAGCAATAAACTATAAAGAATTTTATGAGTGATGATTGCATAATAAGTTGAGGTTTTTTTGAAGAAGATCAAAAATTAGAAAAGAAAGATATCCGTTATACAGTTGTGGTCTCCTTTCGTATCCCTGCGACTAAAAGTAAATACCACTTAAATTTTTTGTATTGAAGCCAGTAGTAACGGCGAAATTTGTTACTGCGACAAAAAAGATTACAATCTAAGCAGGCATAGAAAAGAAATAAAAATTGTTTCTGTAAACAGAACTGTATAAAAGACAAAATCTTACTCACCACTAGCAGATACTTGTAAAAGTAAAAAGTTTCTTTGAAAATCACTTAATAATCATAACAAAATTTACATACAGAATTACAACATAATAACACAATATAAACAATGCTTAGTAGATGCATAACAAATTTATTAAAAGTCAATGGTTTTTTACTCTGAGCATTCTTACAGGTAACACTCTGATAATTACCTTTAAAAAATTGACATCGCTGGCTTACTCTTAAGGGATTACAAATGCGCTTCTACACTACAACATTAACAAACTGTGACCAGCGGTAATCTAATAAACAAATGATCACACAAACAAAACAAACAAAGCGAAAAAAAACAGTACTAGATTCTCTAAGAATAAATTAAACTCCGGTTGACAATCCAGAGAGGCCGCTATAAGATGGTCGTCTTGGTCCCATCATAGCATTATTTGGTTGCCGTAATAAGGAATATTGAGGTGCACTTTCGCTAAAAGAAGCATAGTACTATTTTTTAATAAAACAAGAGCATACCATAAAACAAAATTTTAGGTTGAGTCGTGTTCTGCAGAAGAAGTTAATAAAAGCGATAAGCGTACTAGCGAAACTTACTTGTATAGATATGGTTGAGAGCTAGAACGCGGAAACGTTGGTGTCCTGTCATTCGCGGACACAAAAGTGCCGTCAAGTGAGGAAGATGGCGAAATACGTCTAGTTTTTTTCTCATAATGCACTGGTTCGGCCGTTTTCAGCGGTTGCATCTAAAAAATCGAGATATTTAGGTAATTAATGCGATGCATCAGGTTTAACTACTCAGGTAGTGAATTTAATTTGAGGTTTACACCAATCGTTTCTCTTAAAAATTGCATTTAAGATTCAAACTAGCTTTTCAAGCTGCATAAAACAGCAATAATTATTTAGAAGTGAACCTCAATTAAGCTGTCTCGCCGTGTATCAGCGGTTTTTGACAACGAAGCGACAGAATTCTTACGAGTTCGACTTTGTACTATATGTCGCTGTTTCATGAACCAGCAGCAAGCGAATATTATAACAAACATTACAATGATCCCAAAAATAATGCCAATCCAAAACAACCATGTAAGGAAATTTTCAAGCGTTCTAAAAAGTAAAACAAATAGCCTGTCATTGGAATAGCATAAAAGAGAGCGAGTTACATTAAGTCACACGATTAACTGTATTTTTCCTTCTTCAATCCATTCATTATTTCCTCTAGCTAAAATTTTGAAAGAACATATGTTTAAAAGCTAAATCTGATTGAAAGGTAATCAGTATTTCCTCCAGGAGTAACAATTAAAAAGCCCTTTAGATCCTAAATTTAATGAATAATTCGGCTGGAACTCAAACCTTCGACGACACCACGGTTGATATCCTTGGTTCCACCTCGTAATAAAAACGTTGCTGTCATGGTAAGATGCTTCTCTAGCACCTAAATTTGTAGAACCGGTTATTCATCTGAATTAAAGTTTCTTCCATACCGGGAATTAAGTTCAGGAGATAACTCTACAGCAAAAACTTGAAATAAAATTGAACAAAAATGCTCACAATGGTACTCCGTATCTCCTTTGCTGACATGTTCTTGGAAGCAGGAGAAAGAAGCGTGATCGCCCTCAAGATATGCAGGGGCACTACTTCTAGATTTGCGCATATAATCGGGATATTCCAATGAAATTGCGCCACAGCTATTGTCTGAAAAATTAGTCAGTTGATTTGCAGAATATAACGATTAGTTTTGTAAAGAACTGAAGCACGTAAAGGCGTCAATTATCTTTGGCGCCTCAATTTACTAACCAAACGAAGTGACTAATTCGTGCTTAAATTAGACTGTTCCAACACTAATGCAAAGAATACAAAAATGTTTTTTACATTTGCGTAGAGCATAAGATAATTCATCTTCGAGTGTTAAGGTTTCCTCTTTGTTTGTAGTTCCAAGAACTTTAGCTTGCAGAAATAACGCATCAATCTGGCAGCACTTATCATCACCGCAAACACCTTCGATTGATGCAAGGGACGTCGGGCAACGATTATACTCTTTTTTAAGGTGTTCATAATTTTCTTGATCTAAACGGAGCGGGACATTAGCATTCTTTTATTTTAATCTGTAGAGGCTCTACATAAAGGATCATCAAAGTTTTACAGGGTTGTCCGTTTTCACCTCGCCTACAGAACTCTTTGAACGCTTCTAAGCTTTCCGAAGTTGGAGGGTGATACTGTTTGCTGAAAAAGGCCAAAAAACGATTACAGTTATGAACAAGCAAATCCAAAAATAAACTATGCTTTGATGAGTAAAAAACAGTTTAAAATTTTATCTAACAAAGTAATGACAAGCCTTTATCCCTTAATCTGTCCAACAAGATTGCTTGTTTCACTAGACATCAGTAACTTTTCCTTAGCACGATTCTTTATCAAACTAAATGATAGAAACGCAAAGCAATTTGTCTCCCTAATTTCCACGAATTAAGTAACGCAACCTATAGTATTTACTGCTGGCAGTATATACCGCTCCTTTAAGATCCGCGTCGGGAAGAACACTCCAAATAGAATCAGAAGCAGACTCAAATAAATCAATATGAAAAGCGTTTACTGACTGCCAATTTCGAACAAATGCTGCTACTTGGATTTCTCCTTTCACCTTGTCTAAACATGAGAAATTTGATTTTTATATTTTCATTAGTGACGACTTATTCTGAAGCTGTAAGGTACGAAAAGAGAAAAATAAAATCAAAGAGAGCCACTCACACTTTGCTGAGTACTCGTTAATCCTTTGATTAATATTGACATCGTATGTTTTAGCATTGTCATCTTGAGGAGCTAGAAGACCATCAATGAGAGCTTTTTCTCCATAACTGGCCTCCGCGTTGTACTAAATGTGCAAACGAAAATTAACGAAGAACATTCTATCCAAAATTCTTTTTCGTTGCCTTTACTCTGGTTATGCGAGATATATAAAGTCTTGGGAACTAACCGTTTTATACTGAGGTGGGATCGATACCAGTATATCTAATAGTCCGAAACTCTCCATATAAGTAGCAAAACGATCCATATCTAGTGCATAAGATTCTCGAATCCTGATCCCGATTTGAGCCTTGTCGAGAACAACATATACTTCAGCTTGGCCTCTTTGTACGTTGTTCACATAAATTGTTACTCCTTAAATATTTATGCCCCAAAACTTCATGAACTTTGTAACCTATTTCAGCAGTTTCAAAAGATTTACAACAGTTTTACAACACATAATTTCACTAAACATAATTAACGAGCAACCTCTGAAACGCTGCAGCTGCATATGATCAAAGTACCGAATGACGTCATTGACAAGTATTGTTGTACGATATCGACCACGTGATGTATCTTTACGTAAAATTACGTGAACTCTATCTGAATCAGAAGTGTCAAGAGCTATGCCAGTTAATACAGTTACGTTCGATGGTTGCACTAAATCCTCTTGCTGCACATTTGCTGCGGCTGAAATGAAGTTACTCGTTGAGGACAACCAGTGAAGGGCTACTTGGTTACATTTTTAGCAAAGAAAGTCATAAAGCAAAGAAGTTTTAATAATGGCTTTGGCAGGTTCTTATAAACACATTGATAATTAGTCACAATTTTACAAGAGTACCGAACGGGACACTTCGATCAGGGAATCTTTCAAAACGTCCCTGTATCCGAACCTGTGGTGTAATATGTGTTTCTTCAGCATACAACAGGTTATAAATCCCAGGATCATTATATACATATCTATTTTTGTTTATTGTTGTCACTGTACCAGCGCCTATTATTGAAGCTAAAGAGAGAATATATTAAGAGTAAAATAGAGACGACCATGCTACAAATAATTTGCTTCTTCCGTTTTTTCAACGGGCAAGAAAAAGCAAGTGGATAAAAGTTTGGAGAAAATAAGAAATTGTGTAAATTTTTCAAAAGTTTGCCTATGTAAGGAGCGTTATATTCTTGACATGCGCTAGATGGCCGTCTCCAGTAAAACATTTGACAACGAAAATCAGCATATTTACAGCAAAGGTAGTACGGCATCATATCGTGATGAAACGCACTTAAACCGGGAACCTGTATTTTGATAAGTAAGCCAATATTTTTTGAGAATTATTATAGATTTAGCTATGAAAAGATTTGTGTAGAACGACAGTCAATAAAAATAAAGAATTTTTGAATTGACAACCCGAAACTTGCTTCAAACATGCCCTGGTAAGGATAGGTACCAAATTCGTAAGCCCGCATTGGAAAACCTGGACTATAAGGTGTACTTTCGTCAATTTTAATCAGTGGTTGATAGCTCGTTTGCATGAGAAAGCCGGATCCATCATAGCAGCATACTTGGCCATAATGTGTTGAGTATGAACTGAAAAGTAACTTTTTTTCCCAGCAGTTCTTATTATTACTATAGAGAACAGCAGAGAAAGCCGAAAGAGATCATTTGTTAAAAGATCTTTTATCTGACCGACTTTCTCTCTAACGCTCGCAAATATGCAACAGAGATACTTTAGACATTATAAAGCTCTTATACCTTTTACGGTTAGTATCAGAGTAGACTCCACGAACATTCTGCGCTGACATGTAACAGTTCCGAGAACCAAGAGTTTCTGTACAGGTTACGTCACGAAATATCTACAAATAACAGAAGTTTCGGGCCATGCATTTATTACAGCTGCATAAAAAGTGATAAAAATATATAATCTAGAAACTGCTTCTTATTGAAAACAACAAGCTTCGCGAGAAGTGCAGAGAGGTTAGTGACCTGAGAGCAACGTGGATGAGGCATGAATCTTCCTAGATCAAGCTTTGCCTGAATTTCTTTGCAAGGACAAGACGAATTGGTTTCTGTTGTACGAATAAAGTTCGTTAAAGTGCCATCTTCGTCAAACCTTCAATAACAATAAAATCTTGATCTTATTCACACTTTCAGTAGTTCATGACGTTAATAATCAGTAATCCCCTACTTCTGAACCCTTATGGTTAGCATTTGAGGACTTAGAAAACAGGAAATAAAACGTTTAAAAAAACCCACATTTTTAGATCAGAATTATTATCAAGAATACCAGTGGTAAAATTTTCCTACCGTTTTTTGAACCAAACAAACATTTACAAAACCAACCAGTCGTTGCACATTTGAGTAGCCCTTTTTTTGACAAAGTTGATTTTCTCTTCGCGATCCAAAGTGGCAGTTGATTCTGACGTACCTACTGTCCATAACCAATGAAGTGAAATAGGTGAGCTTAGTAGGCTAAACAAAAATTGAGATAACAGTTTTCTCCCAAAAAATTGCAGCCAGACTAGAAAAAAGTTTTATTAAAAAATTAACAAACCCGGATGGAAGATCTTTATCTTCAAAGTGATGTCCTTCTTCAAAAGCGGTTGACACCAGTGGTGCCAGCTTAAGAAAGCCGAACCGAAAAGTATAAATTTCGTTTTCTCTCTCCCACTTAGATAAGTACCATTCTTCAATGTCAGTAATTCGTATTTGTTGTGTGTATGAGGACCATCGATACCGCTCATCTCCAGGATTGGAAAAGCTGTGAAGACGTGCTAGAACTCTGTATGTAGGAACAAACTTCTTTGCATTTGGATCAGAAGCTTCTTTGTAGCCAACCACGTACAGACCAAGCTGCACTGTGTACAGTGCTGAATCGTCAATTCTAGTTGTTACAGCGTTCAGTGAACTTGGATTTGTGAAGTTTCTATAAATAATAAATTTTTAGAAATATCAATTTTTTTAGGGACTTTAAAAAATCAGATTTTACCTTGGAAACCAAGAAATTCGCATTTCTTCAGGTACGGGGTTTTTAAACCACTGAAAAACATCTCCAATATCTAGCCTCATCGGGTCCAAAGTTGGTGGAACTGTAATACGGATATCACAAATTACTGACAAGATTCATCTGGCTTGAATTTGTAGTAACATAAAAGATAGAAGCCTACCGAAATACATATATCCTATATAGGCTTTCTCGTCATGCGCAAGATCAGATGGTTGAAAATATACAACTTTTGTACCCCAGTCAAGAATCCGAGGGAGGTGGCATCGGGCGATGGCTAAGTTTACTACATCGCAAGGAGCCGCCTGCAAATGACGTCTGAACGGTTATAATAAACAAAAATGACTAAGCAGTAACAAAAAAATATATTAATTGCTAGGTAAAATACTTACATCTCGCTGTTCAATCATTAAACTGTATTTGCGACTTGGATCCAAACAAAGCGCATTAACATCAATCGACTTTTGTCCCAACATATTGACGATATTTGGGTATATCATCATAGGAACTAAAAAAATTTATACCTCACTGTGCGCTAGTTTTTAATGTCTCATTTGTCAAATTATGAGTTTAAAAGTAAAAATAATTTTTACCGAAAAAAAACTAATCAAAACAAGGAATCTGGAATAAAATTGTGGTAATCATAAATTTACACGATCCGCCAGTTTTGTTCGAACAGCCGCAAGGTCGCACAACGTCGTCAACTCTGTGAAGGTATCGTCCACGTACAATGTGAGGTACTGCTGAGCGCTCGGCTAACGACGATGGTCGTTCTTTTGTGGCTAATGATAAATCAACCATCACCGTACCGGTTTGATTACCGCCATTAAACAGCGCCTGAAAGCTTCAAAACTTTATACCTTCTATCATAATAACCAACTTATCAGCCGGTATTCAGAAAACAGTATGGTAGTTTCAAATCTGCCCACTAAAAAACCATTCCACTTTGGGTTTTATTCATCTTCTTGAAGCTTCTCTCACGGTTTACTGACTGCTCTTCATCAATAGCAGTTCTTTCGAGCGTTCACTAATAATGAATTAGTGGAAATGCTTTTATTGAGCATCTTAAAGAATTACAAACAGCGCTATAAACGTGAAAGCAAAAATATTTTTTGGAGAATGCATAAATTGCTCAAGACGTTTTCCACTTTCTCAAAAGGGATCCAAAGATAAGTTGAAAAATCTTGCTTGATAAATAAGTAAATTGCAAATTAAGCTGTACTAAGACAGTACCAAGTGGATAAGAAATCTTGACATTTCTCTTGTCAAACTGCTAGAAAGTTTCAAATTTACTGATTAAACAGACAGTATGTCATTAAGAATTTTTAAATACCATAGACGAATATGGTTAGAAGGCGCGTTCGAACGGGACTAATGCTGACACTAAGAAAGCGATGAAGAGTTTGGACATTACGGTCTAACGTTCTTAGGTTCACGATTGGCTTTGAGCGCTGTTGTGATTTTTGAGAATGCCTTAATAAGAGTACTTTGTGCAACTTCTGAGACTGTCAGGCGTTTTCGTAGATTGGCATGAACAGGCAGAAATGAAAAAAAAGAGGAGGCAAGTAATGCTAGAATTATTTTATCGAAAAAAGAACATTAGGTCATATGAATTCAAGAGAGACTTCGTTAAATTGTACTATTTGCTATTAAAGTTTTAGTGTATACAATTGTATTATCTGACTGGACCTTATGACGAAAGCAGATGGTAATAGCTGTAAAACTGGTGCTATCAGAAGCTCAAGTTTCGTAGATTGGCATGAACAGGCAGAAATGGCAAAAATTAAAAAAACAGTAGAAAGTGCTTGATTTTGTTTAAAAAAATGAGAGTTAGTTGACTTTTTAGGCAGAAATGAGAAACCTCACGTTGAGGAATTGTCCAAACGTGGAATAATAGATTATTGTATCTGATATTTCAGTTTCTCAGTTTTGCGCTGTTTTCAGGTGAGAGGTTTGTTAAAAATTAGAATTGCCTGGTAACTAGGACTTTAAATCATCAAAAGACATTATCGAACGTCAGATTTTTGTTATGGAGAAAATCTGACGTCTGATAATGCCTTTTGATGATTTTACGTTTTTGATGCTCCAAAAAGTACATTAATGACTTACTATAGTCATTTATAACAATTCAATTAAACCGTTGGTAAATCACAAATGTTCAAAAGAAACTCTCCCAAAGTGCAACAGTTTTTTTTCATAATTTGTCCCAGAAAAACAGAAAAAAATATTAAAAAATAAAAAACTTTTTTATAAGAATAAACTGCACAACTGATACATTAAAATTACCTGACATCTACCAGTTACAGTACCACCGTTGACATCAGAAGCTTCATAACCCAATCTTTCGTAATTGATTACCGTGTAAGACAAAGTTCCAAGTGCATCTGTCAACCAGATAAGTTGATAGGTAGAAAATGTATCACTTCTTCCGATATTTGGTTGTACATTTTCCCAGGTAACAACAAGTGCTGCTTCAGCACGAAATGCACTTGCTCCAACTACACCTTCTGGAAAAATAACTGAAGATCATCACTGTTTAACTCTACTGAATGTCCATGATCTGTTTAACTTTTTCGCACAAATGTTTTAAAGAAGAAAACCACTGAAAAAAAAAGTAAGAAACCTTGTAATACAAGTTGCATACTATCCAAAAATATATTGGAATTGTAATCACAAAATGCATAATTTTGTTTTCCGAAACAATGACTTCGATGCTGTGTCGCATCTGAAATGCTACTTTATAAGTATTAAGCAAAAAAAAAAAAGAAACATCAAAGCATTTTCAAACAACTACAACACTTAATGCTTAAGAGCGTTTAAATTCGGTCGAATAACGAATTTGGCTTTAAAAGCAGGCAAGTTATTTGTTTGATTTTGAACTTCCTCTCTTCTTCGCTTTTTTTTTTATTAATTTTTATAAAAAATTAAATTTTTTCGTTTCTTACATATCACTAATATTATTGATTTTGTTTAATAAAGTTTTTGCAAATTTAAAAAAAAAAAAAACAAAGAAATAATTTAGGAATTAGAACAAGTGTATCTGCTTCTAACATAAACATTTTATTTTCTATTAAATGCTGTGACCCTCAAAAAGGATCATCTGAAACTTACAGGAAACTGGATTATTTGTTGAACGCATCTCTATTCGATAATGAATTTGACTGTTTCGCCCCATAAAATTCCCAACTTTTTGTCTTAAAATTCCACTTATAACATAAATTTGTTGTTGAATTAGAAAACAAAAATGGAAAAGAAGAAGGAAAAGTTATAACGTTTTTGAGCTTATTGACGCCGAACAGATATATGTTTGTAATCAGTGTAACCAAAGCCTAAAACTAAATGATAACCTACCGACATAAATACGGTGCAATAAATGCTGGATCAGATTTGGTTGGATAACCGCTATCTTTACCAATCAAAAAATCATGTGAACCACTGTCCGAAAAATACCCAAAGCCAACATAACCATTTGTGGAAATCTTAAAAGTTATAACCGAATTAAGACGATGTCAATTAAAATAAATGTTAAAAATTTTGAAACAAAGATCAGATTATTAGAAAAACCAAAAAATCTGTTGTTTTTTTTTTT